CACCCAGCCAGTTTTTAACCCAGCGAAGAGTACACCTGTCTAGGCCATGAGCTGCCAGCTTCTCCAGGAGAATGCTATGGGAGACTGTGTCAAAGGCTTTGCTGAAGTCCAGGTATACAACATCCACAGCCTTTCCCTCATCTACCATGGTAGAGCAACTACCCAGGGCAGTTTCGCAAAATTATTTTTCCATTATGAGGCTATCAACATGAACCATGCTTCTTGAGACTCTCCTGTTGTTTCTATGTCTGTATGTCCTGGTTTCAGCTGGGATAGAGTTATTTTTTTCCTAGTAGCTGGCATAGTGCTGTCTTTTGGATTTAGCACAAGAAGAATGTTGAGAACACGCTGATGTGTTAGTTGTTGCTGAGCAGTGCTTAGACTGGCCAAGGACTTAGCTCTCAGCTCTGCTATGTGTACAAGAAGCTGGGAGGGGACAAAACCAGGACAGCTGATCCAAACTGACCAAAGGGCTATTCCAGACCATGTGATGTCATGCTTAGTATATAAGTTGGGGGAAGAAGGAGGAAGGGGGGGGACATTTGGAGTGACGGCATTTGTCTTCCCAAGTAGCCGTCACACATGACAGAGCCCTGCTTTCCTGGCGATGGCTGAACACCTGCCTGCCCATGGGAACTAGTTGAACGAATCCCTTGCTTTGCTTTGCCTGAGTGCGCAGCTTTTGCTTTCCCTATTAAACTGCCTTTATCTCCGCCCATGAGTTTCTCACTTTTGCCCTTCCAATTCTCTCCCCCATCCCATTGTGGGGGGAGTAAGCGAGCAGCTGGGTGGTGCTGAGTTGCCAGCCAGGGTTAAACCACAGCGCTCTAGATAAAAGAGGTGCATGTTAGAAATCCTATATTGCTCAATTTTGTACCGCATCATGCCAGAGGAGCCTGCCTGCAACAGGAATTACCAGGAGAATATCAGGGACAGTTTAATGGGCTGTGGCAGACTGGTTAAGTGTAAAAAAGAGAAGAAGCTTCTAAGATGTCATGGAGGTAGTGCCCATTTTACAGGTTGCGTAGGTTACCTCTGATGGTGGGGCAGGTACAGTTTATTCCTGGTTCAGGACAATTCAAAGAAAGAGTCAAGCACTTTGGCTATGAACATAAGAGACTGTCCAAAAGGCTAATGCCATCTGGGCCTCTCAACTACCTAATATTTTAGCTTTTCAATAAAGATTGCAGAAATTAATGTTGTGAAGGGAAGAACTAACCACAACACTTCAAAGCACTACCGGTTTGGTTTTTTTTTTTTCAGTCAATTTAATTTACTTTCAAATGAAAGAGGGTTTGTTTTTTTAAACCTCTAGGAATGGTCATGACTACTATGAGCAATTTGGCGGCCAAAGCAAAAATATAACATACAACTTCATGGAAGTGAAAGCTTTAAGCTTACTGAAAGTTAGGAATTTAAAATTACATTTAAGGATGTTCTTAAACACATAACCTAATTCATACTTGTTTTTAAAGACAGACTCACTTGAAATCACTTTGTGTTTTGTCTTTGCAAAGACTATATATATATAATTACATATTATATATTATTTATATTTAATATCTTACAAGAGGTTAATATTACAATATAGTACATGTTATTAATATAACATTGTGTATTATATTATTGTATGCCATGCTATATAATATTATATATCATTATTATTACACTAGATATAAATGGCAAATACAAAGTGCTTGTGGGTGTTTTTTTTAAAGCTGTAATACTAACCTGATTCTGAGACAACAGAATCTGAACACTACACAGAGGTCTTTCAAAACAGCTGGGGACTGAGTTAAGAATCAATCTTGACTCAAGGTGGAGGGGAGGTGGAGGGGGAGGTGCTGATCTCTCCTCCCCAGTAGCCAGTGCCAGGACCCGTGGCAAAGGCTCAAAGCCGCGTCTGTCACACGACGTGAGGAAACATTTCTTTACTGAGAGGGTGGTCAAACCCTGGAACAGGCTTCCAAGAGGGGTGGTCGATGCCCGGAGCCTGTCAGTGTCTAAGAGGCATCCGGACAACGCCCTTAATTGTATGCTTTAACTGTTGGTCAGCCCTGAAGTGGTCAGGCAGTTGGACACAATGATCACCGTAGGACCCTTCCAGCTGAACTATTCTATTCTATCATTAGGACTGTAGGTACAAAATATCAGCCTTATACATCTGAAAGAATCTGAACTGGAAGCATTCTATTTTTCTCATCTTAGCACATGTACCCTGTATAAAGAACTCAAAATACAAAGTTGTCCTTTTTACTTTCTAGAACTCCACTTTCTTTCCCTTTTTCCACTGTTTTGCCAGTTTCTTTTTATCACTAATAAAGAGGACTACAAACATCAATTGTAGTCCTTTTACATTATAATGTAAACGGCCAATATTCAGTATAGAATATACTTAAAATAGCTTCATCTATTTTCATTTGAAGACAGGATACAATCCTATAGTTACATACAAACCCTATGTGAAACAACCCACTTTATTAGTTGGTTTAAGATTTCTTTTGTATACACTAAAATTTGAAGTCTGATGGAGAGATATTACAAGGTAAACCAAATGGCTTCTTAATGTTTAATAAAAACATGTTTTTTTAAAAAAAAAAAAAAAACCAAAAACCCACAGCTTGCCTCTAAAAGGTACATTCTATTATTAAAGACCATTGTTTCTTATGAGATGCAGCATGTAAAATGTATGCATGAATTAGAAACAAATTGCTGCAGAGGGCTTTCATATGAATGCAATAAATAAGCTTGAGTCTGTATGTTTTGTAGATCAGTACAACTGACCTAAAAAACACGCTGGACATGGCTGTAAAATGCTGTTTTTCTAAAAAACCGTCAAATTGGCTTTTAAGCCTGGCCTCCAAGAAGCGTAACCAGGGCTTGAAATGTAGCTGTGGAAGCAGTATTTTTGAAAGCACTTTCCAAATAATCTATTAAGTTTGAAGGAACAGATGGGCAAACAGGACTCAAGATATTTAAAAGCACCCCCAAAATATGAATAATTCAGTAGGAATTTTGATATCATCCATTAATAGGACTCATCCGTACTGTCAGCTTTTACATTATAAAAAAAATTCCAAAGAAGTGGTAAATTCTTCTAAGACTGATTTCTGTCTGCCAAGACAGTAACATACATATACAACTGTTATAATCAGTAGCTAACACCAGCTCAACTTTCCTGACATGTTTACATGTACATACACAAAAATCCTAAGAAAAAGGGAACCTCCAGAGCTAGATTCCAGCCTGTATGTCTATAAAATAAACTAATAATAATTAGTATTAATAACTATTGAGTCCTGAGTTCGGTTTTTCACAGCTTCAGTACCTTCAGAAACAACCTCTGCATTGCAGACTTTAATATCCCTAAAAGCCTGAATGTAAACTAAAACCAAGCATATGAAATGCATATGGTTTCGTGCCTGTTCAGCCATAACATTCTACCACTTCGGCATTAACTGTGGTCAGAGCCAGAATTCCCTGGCCAAGTTAGGTAGTGGGTGCGAACTATCCTTCCCAAATAAAGTTTGATGAGGACACACAAATTAAAATGAGGCATGTACTTACTAATAAGTAAAAGC